GCCCTCACACCTGTTATTATGAAGTGCTTCGAGAGACTGGTTCTCCAGCACATCAAGGACTGTCTCGCCCCCCACACTCAACTCCCACCAGTTTGCATACCGGGTGAACAGATCCACAGAGGACACCATCGCCCTAGCTCTGCCCGCTGTGCTGAGCCACCTGGAGCACAACATCATCGTCAAATTCGCCGACGACACCACAGTGGTTGGACTGATCTCAAGGGGAGACGAGTCAGCCTACAGAGAGGAAGTTCAGAAGCTCTCAACCTGGTGCTCAGACAATAACCTGGCACTGAACACTGCGAAGACCAAGGAGATCACCGTGGACTTCAGGAGGAGCAGAACTGACCCACCCCCTCACTACATCAACGGTGAGTGTGCGGAGAGAGTCGACACTTTCAGGTTCCTGGGAATCCAGATCTCTGATGACCTCTCTTGGTCAGACAACACCTCAGCTGCCATAAAGAAGGCCCGGCGGCGTCTACACTTCCTGAGAGTCCTCAGGAAGAACAAATAGGACAGAAAGCCGCTGCTGGCCTTCTATCACTTGACCATTGAGAGCCTGCTGACGTATTGTGTTTCCACCTGGTAAGGGAGCTGCACCAAGGGAGGCAGAGCGAGGCTTCAGAGGATAGTCAGTGCAGCACAGAGGATTGTTGGCTGCCCTCTCCCCTCCCTGACAGACATTTATACCACCCGGTGCCTCCGCAGAGCTCGCAACATCACCAAGGACAGTTCACACCCTGGTTCTCAGCTGTTTGAGCTGTTGCCCTCTGGTAGGCGCTACGGATGCTCCAAAGAAAGACGAGCAGACTTAAAAACAGTTTCTTTCCGAGAGGCATCACCATCATGAACTCACACATATAAAACATCCACTCTACCTCAATAAGTCTCCCCCACTATGTGCACTATGTAAATATATCACTTATCTGTAAGTAAATATTCATGATCTGTATGTATATATCCATCATCTTGTGCAATATTTCTTCAATCTTTTATTTCTTTTTATATATTAATCCTTTTTTATCTTTATATTTAAATTAGCAATTTTGCACTTTATCTTGTTTTGAACAATTTTGCGCTTTTATTTTCCATACTGTTCCTTTATTTTGAGTCCCTTCATAATTAATGCGCCTTTACCCGAGCGACTTCAGTTTTAGAAACAGATTCATATTTCATAAATCTCCTTGAACTCACTGACACAGAAGCTCCGTGCTCTAATTCAGACGCTGGTCTTCGTCGTGCCTCCGCGCAGATAAACACAAGCAAACTGCGACCCGGCCTTCGTTTTGGGACAAATGCAGTGATTGACCGAACACAACAACCAGGCGCTGGTGCTGCAGCCACCCATAATATGTCCACTTCCTCTCCCCTGGCTGCTGGTCTGTTTGGGACTGATAACTACTTCATGGATTTCTTTCGCAGATATCTCCACCCCTCTGCCTTTAAGTCCTTGTGCTTTACTCATTCTCTTTCTCTCTCGCTCACTCCCAATTGTCAGCTTTGTTTTACAAGCAGAGCAGTGATACTGTCTCTCAGAGGCACATCTCTCCCCCCTGCCCTAGCCGGCTGTCAGGCCAGATCTGCCGTGACAGTGGGCATACTTGGTGCACCGGTGGACACACACACACACACACACGCATGTATATATATAGTACACAAAATGCACACTAACACACATGCACGAATATGAAGTTCCGTGCAAACAATCAAAGCAGACGTAGCACATGCTAGCGCTCCATCCGACCTCACCTTGACCTGACACAAGACACCTCCCTCGCATCCTCACAGCTAACGCAGCTGGACAGGTGTGTGTGTTTGTGATTTTGTGCATGTGTGTGCTTACAGTCACTCTGATGCATATTTTATACGAGGCTGCTGAGTGTGTGAGTGAAACTAGGACATGAAGGAGGCCAAAATACATCCCAGTTAAAAATGGGTGTGTTTCTCTCCCAGAAGTAGATGAATGTGTGTACTTATTCCATTACCTTTTTGTTTTTCTTTTTTTTAAACTTGTTAACCATTTTCCTTTTCTTTTCATTGTCTTATCGTTCAGCCTCAGGGCTCATTTTCGAGGTATGTCTATTCGCCACACACACACACAGACAGATGTGCATATGCACTGACAAAAAAAGAGAGGCAAACAAACACAGACCACCTCAGCCATTTGAGGACACTTTCTGTTTAATGTTATTTATAAACAGCTTTTGAGTCTGGCATTGTTTGATAACCACATACAAAAACATTTGGGTTGCACAAAGGAAGAGAGGAGAGGAGAAGAACGTGGAGATAGAGGTGTGCCGGGCGGAGGAGAAAAGAGCAGGAGAGGAGGAGGGAGGAGAGAATAAGCAGACAGACGAGGGGAGGTGAGGGAGAAGGGGGAGGGAGAGACAGAGGGATGAATAGAAAAGAAAAGAGGAGGAGCAGGAGAGGGAGGGACAGTGCAGTGTACCGTTTATCTTGAATGAGTCAGCAAAACAAAAACCAAAAAAAAGACGGAAAGGAAATAATGATAATAATCATATTTAAAAAAATAATAAAGTTCCATCCTTTAGCTCCCTGTTTATTTTCTAAGGGAGCCACACAGCAGAGAGTCACTTTCTCTATCTTTTTCTTTCTTTCTTTTTCTTTGTTGTTTCTTTTTTTTTTTTTTTCCTTATTTTTTTTTTAATACAAAAGTCATCCTCACGGGAATAAACGGACAACAATTTACATCACCTCTGGGTTCACAGCAGCACAGACAAGTTCACCAGTAGGGATCTCTAATCCTACATGTCAGGAGGAATGACACCAGTGACAGGCCTCGGTAACGTCCCCGACATCGAGATAGATAGACACGAAAAGGCGGGGTTCGGCAGGGAAACACTCACATTCAGGGTACAAATGTGGCCCCTGCTCTAGGATTCCCATCTGAACCAGGTATATTTAGGTTGCCAGCAAACCAAACTCATCGTTTTATGTGCTTTTTTTTTTTTTTCTTCTTCTTGACAGCATGTCACAATTTTAGCCTTTTGAGCTCAGTCATCCGTTGCATACAAGGGTTTTTAAAATAGAATTCGTTACTTTGTAATGCTCTAAGAAATATAGAGACCTTTACTGGCGAGTTAAGGTACCCGGATGGCCCGTGTGAATCTGTACAGGTTATTGTAATCAAGCACTTGAGACTTTGGGCCGAGTGACTCTGAAAAACACTCCAGGTCTGCAGTCAAAGCCTCGACAGTATCTGCGGTGCTCTGCTGTGTGATTTGAAAGGCCCGGACTAATGGGGGTTAGAAGTTTGCAGTGGGACAGGAAGGCTGTGAAGGTGATCGATTGGGTTTTATTAGGTGTGTGTATGTGTGCTTGAACCTCTCCAGTTCATAAAGGGCGCCATGTCCACAGTCCTCTCTGTGCTTGTTATTTCCTAAAGAAAGAGTCCCGAGCCTCCAAAAAGGAGGAACAGGAGGTTCTCTCTCCTCAGTCGTAGCAGCATTAAAAATCCAACTCTCCAATCAGGGCTTGCAGATCGTCGAGTCCGTCTGTTTTTGGAGCACACAAAACATGCCAGAGGAGGCGGCAGAAAGAGTAGTTTTCCAGTTGCTCTCCGGTGATCATCACAGATTCTGAACTACTTCTGTTCTCCAGTTTCAGCGATTGATCAGGCCTTTCCAGGAGACGTGTGATTTGTGGTGATCACCAGCACTCCTCTCTGATTGCGGGGGGAAAAAAATGCCTTTTTTTTTTTTTTCTCCAAGCACTTGAGACCTTCCTCTGAGTATTTGGATTGAATCATCTCTGTTTAAAAGATGTATAGCTTCCACAGCATCACAGAGGAAAGTGCATATCAGTTTCTGAGAATCAGAAGTTTTTGTGAGTCCGGCTCAAGCCTCAGCTTTTCCTTGGCCTGTATGAGTTGACCTTTCAGGCTCGTTGAGGCCTCTGTCTTGTTACCATTGAAGTCGAAGAGCGAATGAAACCGTCTCTTGCCTCCTTAGTTTGTCCGTAACAGAAACTGGCTCTCAATAGGCACTCTTGCTATCTAGCTTCATTCTACCCGCATGGCTTTAGTGTTTTGTTTTGTTTTTTTATTTTTATTTTTTTTAATGTTTTGTTTTTAGTTTTTCTTTTTAGCGGACACACACAGTCATACAAACACCAAGACGGACATCTTCACTCACTCGCTCTCACTCATTTACACCGACCGTGACGAGGTGGCTCTTAGGATGATCGGTTAGTTCTGAATGGCTTTTAAGTTGGGATGCAAGGGCAAGGACAAATGATAGCTTTCAACAGGACGAAGTATGAAGAATTGACCATTATATCGTGTCACAGTTTCAGTGGCACTTCTTTTAGAATTTAGATTCCAAACCAAGGGTAAAGGAAGTGCATCCAGCCTGTTGTGTGGCATGGAAGTAAAACCACTTTATCGGTAGATATGTGGTGATTATAGCTATTACTACTAAAACCCTTCACAATGACTCATTTTGCTGCCACTTGAGTTTGCAGTGGTTTGTTTCTTGATCTTAAGGTGCAGTTGAGTGAGCTGAGTAACGGGTGTAAATGACTGTGACTGACAGATGGAGGTTGTGCTATTATGTCAGGAGGTCTAAACATAGAGGTCGAGCCTTAAACTGCTCTGTCACCTATCGTGTGTTCCTCACGTGGTTATTTGAATGAATTACTGGCTTGTTATTTTATGTGGCTGTACAGTTTCTTATATGTACATAAATCCAGTGAAGCAATCGATGTCAAAGAGACAAAAGTAAAGTTTTCCTGTTGTTTCCCTTGGTGACATCATCAAAGCAATGGGCTAAATTGTTTTCCCTGACTTCCATGTATTGATTATGATTCATAAAGATCCCTGCATTAATACCACAGGGACACTCAATTATGTTCTTTATACACAGTCATGTACACACACAGTTATGCACGCATGCCTCGTTTAAAGAGCCAGGGCTGGGTGGTTCAGGAGAATGAATCATAAGGTTGCATCACCAGCACAAAAGTGTCCATTTCCCACCTCAGCGTAGGATCACAAAGTAGAGAGACAGCAGCAGAGCTGATGAGAAACAGGAAACATAATCTGCAAGGTGTGACCCTGCATTATTATTAGCTCTCTGGACCCCACTTGGTGGGCCGACAGAAGTTCTGGGGATGCACTTGTTCTTCCTCCGTCCGTTTGCAGACAGGTCGTATTTACCTCCATCCGGAGCATAGTCTTTGTCACCCCCCTCCCGAAGTATCTGCACCTCATTGAGCCCCCCTTTTGCCTTGCGACCCCGGCGGGTACAGTTTCTGCGGCCCCCCTTGGGCGGCCGTGGCAGGGGCGAGGGCGAAGGCAGGCTGTACTGGTCCCCGTGGGGCAAGTACGGCCGCTGGTGGTGGTTGTGATGGTTTCTGTGGCGATTCAGGTGGTTTAAAGACTCTCCATGCTCCATCTCGCCACCTGGAGCGCCACGCGCGTGACCCTCGCCCAGCAAGCAACTGGGCAGCTCCTCTTTCTTCACCGTTTTCAGGTCCTTCCCCGCCAGCTCTGGTGGTGAAACGCAAATCAGAGACGAGGTGGAGCCTCTGAACCTCCGCAGCCAATCCCAAAGTGACAGAGCCTTGCAGTCGCACTCCCAGGGGTTGTCGTTGAGTCGCAGGTACTCCAGAGCTGGCAGCAGAGTCAGGCTGGAACCGGATAGCTCAGTCAGGGAGTTATTAAACAGGTACAGGGTGGTGAGACGCCGCAGGTCGTGGAAAGCCTGACGATCAACCCACTGGATTCGGTTCTGGTGGAGAAGGAGCCGGTCCAACACCCCCAGGCCTCGAAAAGTATTCTGGCGAAGACTCCACAGTCGATTGCCATGCAGGAAGAGATGACTGAGGTTCAGCAGGTCGATGAACAGGTCATCCTCTAGGAACTCTAACTGGTTATCCTGCCAGGGTGTACAAAAAGGAGAAAAGGTAAAAAGAGAAGCTTAAAATGGGCTGCAGCATACTGAAAATCACTTTATGAGTAATTTAACATTAATTGCAACATATTTGTTACTTGGGAAAACATCCTTATCTCTACTGAAACATTGATTTTAGCAATAGTATGCCCTTCTTTGGCTTTCAGGTCAGTTTCACCATTGCACAAGATAAGAATACCACCAAAATAGTGTACAATATAAAGCACAAAGAAGGTTTGTTGTGTTTCTAGAGGCTAGAAAATGTCATGAGCAGTGTAATAGGGGTCAGGAATGATTTTCTTTGCCCTCTGAATGCTGCATTTGAGGCCAAGGAGTCAGTTAAGAAGAGTGTTTGTGTGTATGGAGGAGGCAATGGGTGGAGTTTGCAATATCCAATAATTGTGTTTTTTCTGTTCTCAATCTACCATCTCTGGTTTTCTGTATGTTTTATGAGCTTTTGCTGTCAAACATGTTAAGCTGTGACCTTTACCCCACATGCAGTCAATATCAATCAATTTTCTCATCAATAATCCGGTATTAGATTCCTCTAATGTTGTTGAGGCTTTTCTCTTTAAAAGGCCGCTGCATAATTAATTAAATCATACTCTCGATCCTCAATTGCAATCTTTTCCCTAAACACAGAAGCTTGTTAGTGTGAGAAAAAAAAGAGGTTTGTGGTATTTTCACTGCAGTCAGGATAACAGCGAGCATTTGATCAGGCTCCAATTCATAGGCGGTAAGTGCTGAACCACGCTGATGGACAGATTACACTATAATGTGATTGTGGCTGCAGATGCAATGCACAGTAGAGATAAAAGGCGGCTGTTATCCATGCACCTGTAGGTAGAGATACTGGAGATTATGGAGCCCGGCAAAGATCCCCGGAGGTAAGCTGATCAGGCCACAGCTGTATAGGTGCAGGGCGTGAAGCCGCCCCAGGCCCAGGAAGGTGTCTGAAGCGACGGCCTTCAGGTGCTGGTTGTCCCCGAGGTCGAGCTCCTCCAGGCGGTCGAAGCCGTGGAAGGTGGACGGCTGTATGTAGGAGATGTTGTTAGCATAAAGCCACAACATGGTGGTGGTGGGCGAGAAGTGGCCGCGGAGCAGCCTCTGGATCTTGTTCTTTTGCAGGAAGACGCGCTCGCTCTGAGCGGGGATGCCCTCGGGCACGGCGTGGAAGTTGTGGTCCTGGCATGACACGGTGCTAGGTGAAGTGTAGCAGATGCAGTGGCGAGGGCAGGGCAGAGAGAGATCCAGGCCCCACAGCACCAACAGTAACTCCACCCCACCATAACCTGAGAGAGGAGGATGGAAATGAAACGAGGAGACGGAGGGGAAAGAGAGCGGGAGGGAAAGACGAGCAGAATTAATTGAATTCATACAGCGATTCTGTTATCAGACGCATCTTGAATGAAACACTCATTGCTCTCAGTTTACAAGGACAACAATAGGCATGGTTCAGTGCAGACAAATTACAACGCTCACACACATCTCCAACAAACACACACACACTCACACCCTCACCAACATCCACATATTGTTTTGTGAAGCCATTCTTCTTACATATTGTTAGCAGACTGTTTACCATTAACCTCTCCCACCCTTCACTCCAATCTTCCTCTTTCAAAACCCCAAATTTAAACTCAGGGGACCATTTTTTTGTTGTTTTTTTTTTCATGGATTGCTGAAACCTTGAAAATCCTTAATACCAGGAGGCCGCCTACCCACCGCCGCGATAAACACATAAAAATGCTGCTCAGGTGAACAAACAGTTTATGTTTGCCGTCTTTTATTGTGCGCTAGTTTGATCGTCGGAGAGGTATGTACATTTTTATTCTTGTGTTCCTTGCACCTGTCTTGACGTTACTGCACACACACAGACACACACATAGCATCCTATCATGCACAGTGTTATATCCTTTGGTTATCCTCTAAAGGCGACAGAAAATCGATGTTTCTCCTGCTTACAAGTGAACACGCACCACACCTGTAATACATTCCCACAATAAGGGAAACCAAGAAAGAGGGGTATAGGCAGAGGGAGGAGGTGGAGGATGGAGCGGGAATCATCTGCAGCGTGCCTGTGAAGTGGATATTACTTTTTTTGTTTTCAGATCCTCCTCATCTCACTCACATTTATTTATTTATTTGACTTTTTTTTTTTTCCAGCCTTGGATCATTCCAGTGTTTGATGTGTTGGAGAGGGCTGGAGAAGAAAAAAAAAAAAAAGAGGTAAAGGAGAAAGAGATGAGGGTAGAGGCATTCTGATCCTGGGAGTAATTTCCGAACAAAGAGAACAGAGAGAGTGATACAATGTAATATGAACATCATGTGCTCACGTGTGCCCAACCCTGTGTGTGCGGCTACATGCCTTTTCATCTTCAGCAAACTGTAATTTGAAACCACTGAAGTGAGGACATAAATGCATTTGGAGGACTGTTTGAGGGTTAAGGCTTGATTTTTTTAGGTTAGGGTTTGACTTGGGTTGAGGTTTTGCATTTACGTGCCATGGTGAGGGTGAGGGGGCAGGTAATGGTGGCACGAGATCTCATTTTAGCATCGACACTGTGGGACGTACGATAAGAACTGAGGCAAACAAGCTCTTCATGCAACAACTTTTTTTTTGCTGCTTAATAGAAAAACTCACACTGTTCCCATTTTCCATTACTTATCTTCTACAAGAGAAGTTTGTCTGATGTTATTCATGACTCCAAATGTGAGCAGCAAAATGAGCGATGAACAGGAGAGAATCGCTGAAAACAAAACGCGACGTCGGTTGTGTGGAAATATTTCAGCTGCAGAAAGGATGACGTTGACCACAAACAGCTATTCTTTGGCAGCATCTTGCAGTTGGCAGTGCAACTACATTTGTTTGACCGTTTAAATTAGCACAAAGCTTTGCCTGTTCAGTGCAAAGCCATATCTGAATGCCATCCAAAGCATCAAACCTTTTCCAGTTTTACATAATGTGAGACAGGTTCCAATACAGTTGGCATTCAAATAAAGTCTTCACTGTAAAAAGTAAGTTTTATTTTAATAAAAAAAAAAAAGAAATGCAGATGCAACAACCAACAAAGCCCTCCCTTATCATTTAGGAATCATCGTAGTTATTTGTGTGTTTTTGTCTGTTTTTCTTCATTTATATATCGCATTATATATCACAGAAAATCAAAGTATCAACTTTTTTTTTCTTTCTTTTTTTCCAATATCGCGTAGCTCCATCAATGAGTGTCCTCGCAAACATGGGAAGACACGTGTGTCCGAGTCAGTGACTTGGACAGATGTGATGGACAGATGTCAGGCTTGACCAGGACACTGCTGCTCTGTAAAGAACAGCATGTTCTGAAATGTCAGCACAGGACGGACCAGTGTCATCCTGTTGGCCACACGTGTGTCCGTGGAGCTCAGTGCGCTTTTCTAACCAGGTGCCATCGTGTGTGTCTGTATATATGTGGCATTATCGGAGGCTTATAGCTAGAGCTGTGTCTGCTGTATTTGACAACTCCGACCTTTTCGTGGAGAAAAAACAAAAAAGCAACACACGGCGGCTATGGTTATGGCAGCCCATCTTCTGTCCTGTCCTGCACCAACAGCAACTCGGTACTGTGCAATACTTTTAATATTGTATGAACTCATGAATATTTATGAATATGGACGGTTAAGCAACAACTACTTAATTATTTGTGGGTTTGTGCATGTTTTTACCGTTTAATCGTGAATAATAATACATAATTTATTACCAATTGATGAAACATAAAAAAAAGAACCTTTTAATGATGCATGATTAAAACAGTTAAACATGTTTTATTACTTATTGCAAACATTATTTAGAGCGTTATATTATGAGCCTGCATTAGACTTAAGTTTATGGGTTCAGGAGAGTGACCGGTAAGTGTGTTTGCTCTTTAAACTGGCACAGCTCCACGGACGGCGGTGTCGGTCTGTCACTGTGGTCCAGACTGAAATATGTCAACAGCTAATGCAAATTTTGACTTTCATGGCCTCCAGAGAACAAACACTGCAGACTTTGGTAATCTCCTGACGTTTCTCCTGCTTCGCCACGTCGCTGAATTTAGTGAGTTTGGGTGAAATGTCTAATGAGCAGATAAACTGTAATCACTGAATATGAATGTGGTGCCACTGTCTAATCAATACTTCAGTTTGTCCAGTGCTTTTGTTTATATCTAAATATGTGCAATTGTGCTTTTATAGTGAGAAATGTTAGGGATGGACGAAATCTGATGTGTCAGTATTTTTAAATTCATTTTGGCAGGTACATGCAGGAAACATCAAGTCTCTCTTATAATAAAATTAACATATGATTATTATGCCTACATTTATCTGATGGTCCATTGGCAGACACCGACATAAAACGCTCAGTTGTTCACATTCACTGGGCAAAATATAAAAACTACCTACATATAAAGCCATTGATACGCATTAGCTCTATGTCAGTGCTCATTTTGTGCCAATACTGATAATTCATGTCAAAGCCCTACTCATCCGGTACTGATGACGGCGCCAATGTCCTCATGCGTCACTGCTAATTTAACATTAAAATGCAAATGCGCTAAAATTGGTAAGTGGTGGAAAAGACTGTACAAGTTAAACATTAACATTTTATCATTGTCAGTGAGAATCCTGTTGAAGTCAGTAATTGTAAGATTAGATAACATATTAACAACAATCAAAAAAGCCAAGGGGATTCTTTAACAATTAATATAGGCATATTATCCAGCAATTTTACATTATCCAATACTCACTCCTGAGAGCCTATGAACACGATCAACCGTGATATTAATGTTTAAACTGCATCTTCTGCTCATAGAAAACTCAAATCGAGCGGTTCCTAAGCTAACAGCCAGCCACCAGGGGGTGATCAAGATGCTTTGGCATCACTTTTGGGCAGCCTGTGCAAAAAAATGTCCAGGATGTTGTGGCTACTGTCCAGAGTAGAAGAGTAACATACAACATGGAGCAGACAGGCAAAACAAAAATCAAATGTCTGGAGCAGAAGGTAAAGAGGGAGTCTTGTGAAACTAAAACGAAGTAAAAGTTTGCACATTTCCAGGAATGTAGAGCAAGATGAAAGTGAAAGCGATGCTCCATTTAAATGTGAAAGTGGAAGAAAAATAATTTGGCTCTTAAATCAATGAATAATCATAAATTATCGTGATCTCAATACTGATCCAAATAACTGTGATTGTGACTTTGGTCATGATTGTGAAGCCTGAATCTGCTTCTACCATCAAGTCTTGGCCGGTGCATCGTATCAGATTCAATATTTACTATTTTATCAAATGGAGCATCGGTTAAGAAACATTTCCATTCAGTTTGACCAGATCTTTTAGTTTGGCTTTTAGTTGTGACGAGTATTTGCATTGATAGCCCTCAGGGTGAGAGGAGGGTTGAATAATAAATATTCAACTGATCAATCCACATTTATTATTGATGCTTGTGCTGAGGGGTTCTTTGCACGTGTGCAGCCCACGACATCCCTGGTTTCCCTTTTTCCATCCTATTTCTTTATCAGCTTCACACTGTATTTTTTCTTTCCTGCCTATAGGCTTGATTGGTCAAATGTCACTGTTATAAGCTGTTACATACAGTGAGTATTCAGTCTTGCGGGTATCAAAATGATTGTATCTCCCCGTTCTTTCCCTCTTTTCTCCGCTCCTTTGCTGCATCCGTCCATCGGTGTTGCCCTTTCTTCATGCTTCTCTGCATCCTTTCTGCAGAATGTTTACACTTGCCTTCGTCTACAGCTTTGCCTCCGTGTGCTGCAGCTCTGCCCCACCTGCTGTCTGTTAATTAGGTATGAAGCTGCTGCTTGCCTTTTTTTTGTGGACAAAATATACATTTTGTCTTTCTGCGTCTGTGTCCTTGTGTCTTTTGTTTACGGTTCTTGGTGAGCATTGCTTGACAGCACTTCACTGAACCGCACTCATCTTTTCTTGAGCAGGAGCTCATCTTAATCTTTTGCCTCAAGTTTTGTCGGATGCTTTGAGCTTGTAAATTGACACTTATACGTTTCAGTAAAGTACGTGCCACTAGAAAAGGTTCCAACCAGAGCTGCATCACAAATCACAGTTGTGATTTCTCAGCTGTTAGTCTTAAGTTTACAATGTTAAACTCACCAGTAGAGTGTTCCCATTGGGCCCATTATTTTTTTTTTTTTCATACAAATCGTCTTCAGTACAAGTCTGCTTGACACGTACTTGTGATAGTGCTTCTAGCGTTAGTTTGCATTTCCAATTGCTTTTTGCTCCCTCGTTGCCTTTTGTTTACCCCTGCAGTCGTTCATTTTTTTTCCTTTTTGTATTTTCATCATTGCTTTACATCTGACTTCCCTCTTCCTCCCCTTTGCCCCTTTCATTCTTTCCAATTATACCCTTTATCTTTCTGCTATTCACTGTGCACTATGGTGCGAGTGTATGTGTGTGTGTGTGTTTCCCATTTGAGGGAAATGCGTGCCGACTTGTGTTCATCTCCGCTTGCAGATTAACTGTGGGTGTTTCAAGTTTACAGATTGAGAGATGGCGCTGATGATATTAGATAGAAAAGCTGGCTGCTGCCATATGGCTCTGACACCGGGGGCAGCGTATCTCCCACCAGCATCGACTCGTTCAGACGTTTTATTTATTTATCATTAGCCTTGTAAAACATTATCTCCATTCACGTATAGAGTTGAGCTGCTTTTGATAGTGAGGTGGCAAAAAAGGGACACGGTTTTCTGATTTCAGCAACACGAGTACATAGATGATGCACCGGCTGTTCTTGTCAATCCTGTATCAACAACAAATTCTCCGTACCTTTTTTTTTTTTTTTTTTAAACCCCCAAACTGTTAAAAACATGTTTTCAGAAATTGTAACTCGAAGTCAGCACTTCCTTCGGATTTGCTACTGTAGCTTCGCCTTCAGCTCCACAGTGTTAGCACTGGAATACATAAACAGACAACTAATTGCAAATCAGCAATTAGTCAAGGCATCAAGCTGGCATCAAGCCAGATCTCAAACCTGTAACAACTCCCAGTAAGGAGCGTCAAGATACATAAAAATCTGTTTCACCGGTATTCTTTATGACACATTTCCCCGTGTGCTGCAGTTAAATAGGAAAATGAATCAGGGTTAGTTTCCATTAAGTTGATACGTGCCTGATGTGACTCTCTTGTGAAGTGGTTTAATGTTTAAAAGCTCATTTGATACCCAACACCTTCGTAAGCCGGAATTAGCGATTTCTTTAAAAAAAAAGAAAAAAAAAAGCCAACCAGGTGTGAAACAAAGACTGAGGGCGGAAAGTGGGCTACGGCATAACTGACTGATGTTTACTCGTGCAAAATCATTTGCAAATTTGATTACTTGACCGTGAGAACAGCAAAAAAGTGAGCAATCAAAGGAAAGACATCTAAAATAAAATAAAAAACACAACAAGCGTTACAGAACATTACACCTCCACATCATGCAAACATTGATCTTGTCATTATAAAACTCCAGGTATTCATTTGCTCATCGTGGTGTTTGAGTCCATCTCAGGACCTTGGTTGCATCTTTC